TTTCATTAGAGAAGAACCCGTCCAGAAGACCTATATAATTTTTTTCCTTTTTTTTTCCCTTTTGTTTAATTTACTGGACCAATTTGGCTCTACTAAGCCAGGTTAAGTAAATTGAGCAATAAATGTATTTTCTTTGCTCATTTTACTCAACTAGGCTTAGGAGCCAGATGACATGACTCTGATGAGTAAATTCAACACTTCATTTTTTAGAGTGCAGAAACGTCTTCTTTCATGATGAGTTTATTTTGTAACAAGTAACTAGGTGTTACATTTTAAAGTAAAGAAGTAAAAGTATCATTTTTAGCTTTAGAATGTAACAAATTAAAAGTAGCTATTTCATAAAGTAATTGGTAAAATTACAAATCCTCAAAAAATTACTTAAGTACTGTAACGAAGTAAATGTACTTAGTTACTATAAAACTCTGGAAACAACAAAAAACAAAAATATCAAAGAGAAAAAGCAGCGACATGATGGCAAAAAATAAACCAAATAGTAAACAAAAAGCAGATAAAACTCAGGATCCTAAGAATTTTGAACAAAAATACTGCTAACCCTGTTGAGTTCAACAGAAAATGTATTGCTTTTGTAAGGTGTGGATGAATCTGACTTCTGATCATTTATAAATGTCAAACAGAAGTTGATCAGTATCTTGGTGCATTCAAATAAAACAGTAACTATGTCTAGCCGTTTTTTTTTTTAAAATAAATTGCTTTCATTCACTGCTGTCTCCAGCAGTCACTGTGTCAAGGGACACCCCTGAACAGGTCGCAAGCCCACCACAGGGATACATTTTGGCATTGATGTGACCTGCATGCGCAGAAGATAGCGTGACGTCACAATTAGAAAACTGTTTACACAAGTAAAAATGGATGCTACCCGTTAGCATGTCGATTCTAAAGTATTATGCTATCAGAGCTGATTAATTAATTGTCTGACATGCATGACAGTTTACTGTTAACATCTGAACCTGCCTCTGGCCAGCTACTCCGGCGCAGCATGTACAGTATTTATTGAACAAAGTGACGTGCTGAAAGTAAAACCAAAGGCCCTGTCACACTGTAACGTTTTTTTGACAACTTGTGAAAAGTTTGTCCAACACTAAAGATGTCAAAGCTGAAAATGCAATTTTACAAAAAAATCTACTGGAAGCCTCTTTTAGACCTATACATACCGTAATGCTAACAATCATATCCAATATGTTGCTCATATGAGTAAAATAGTTCTAACAAAATTTTTATAAGTTGGCACAAGTTGTCCAAAACGCTATACTGTGACTTGACGTTAACTAAAGTATTGATCCAGCATCTTTAGTATTGATTTGGTCTGAGACTGATGTTACTATCATATATTTCTGAGGATTCTCAATCATCCAGGACATGGGGAAGTAAAAGAAAAAAGACAAAGCAACTGGACTTGTTGCTGATGACGTGCAGAGTTACAAGATTTAAACAGCAAGAGGT